ACTACAGACCAAATACTACCAAATCACACAGAAATAGACTCCTCTCTTTACAATACATATGATTATTTACCATTATTAACATCTCTTAATTGGTCAATTCCTAACACAAACTCCACTGATTTCTTTACATCCAATCAAACAATCTATTCAAACAATTCTACAACACCTCCTCCCACTTCATCAATGATCACACCTAAACATACTTCTATATCAATTAAAATTGGATCAATAAACATAAATAGTCTTTTTCAATCCAACAAGAAACTTTCCTTAATAGAACTATTACAAAAAAACAACTTTGAAATATTTGGACTTTCTGAAACACACTTGTCTTCTAAAGAAGGAAAAATATTTAGTAACTAGATCCAAAATTATAACAGTTTCTGGAGCTTATATACAAATCCACACCAAGTAGGTGTTGGCATATTTGTATACAAAAAAATCTCTAAATATATTGCCAAATCTCATAATTACAATGAACACATAATTGGACTCGACTTCTATTTTAAAAAAACACCCATCAGACTTCTTCAAGTATACTTTCCAACTTATGAAAAAAAACAGCTTTGTAAAGAAATTCAAGACTACTTAATCACTCTTACCCAAAATAACAAATATAAATTAATTATTATAAGAGATTTAAACAGTATCCCAAATCCAAGAATTGACAGATCTCTCCCAAAAAAATCATCAATTCTAGAAAGCCAAATTATTTAATACTTAATTAGCTTCTAATTTAAGGACATCTACCGCATCTTCTATCCTAACACACCAAACTTTACCTTTAGTTGTAACAATATATAAAGCTGAATCGATCAAATATGGACTAACTTATCTATCACTAATATCGACTATACAGAAATCCTTCCCATTGGTACAATTGAATCTGACCATCAAATAATAACTCTTGAAATCTCCATTATAATCAATAAACCCAAACCTCATAAACAACATAAACATAAAGCCTTTCTTAGAAAACCTGTACTAAAGAAAACCTTGAAAACTACAATGAACAAACAACCAAAAGTCTTCAACATCTATTCTCAATAATCTCTACAATCTTTAACCAAAACCAACTTAATAATACATAAAATAAAATTCACAAAGCATTAATCAAAGCCTCTACTAAACATATTCCTTTCAAAAAAATCAAAACAATTAAAGAAATTCATGACTCCCCATCACCAAAACATTCAGCACTTTATTTCCACTACAAAGAAATCCAATTTCTTAAAAATCCTATGAACTCAATTAATTTTTATACATTACTCACCAACTACCAAACCAAATATCTGAATTACATATTCCAAACATTATCACCCTCACTAATTCAAGTTAAAGAAGAATTCCAAACTATTAAAACTGCACTTAACCACCAATATCAACAATCAATCTATGAAGAAATCAAAGAAAAAATAGAAGAACGAAACAAATCATTCAAAGAAACATCTAAACTTTTCTATAAAAAAATACTAGAAAAATATAATAACATTCACATAGATAAACTACTTCTTAACAATAACCTTCTTACAGAACATGATGAAATACTAAATGCAATTAAATTTCATTTTACTGAATACTTCAAAACCAAGCCTTTCGAAACTATTCTATCAATATCTGACTTCTATTTCCTCTATGAACCACATCCTGAACTTGAAATCCACTACCAAAATCTTAATCATGAAATTTCTGAACAAAAATGACAAAACATTATCTTCAATTTACCTAACCAAAAAGTAGCAAGTCCTTTAGATACCTGTTACAAACATATAAAATACACTAGCTCCAAAGTACAAAACATTTTTCAATTTTTTCTAAATAAATGTTTTTATCTTCAAAAAATCTCCTCAAACTGGAAATCTTTTAATATTTTTCTAATTCCCAAAAAATTAAATTGGAACTATACATTAAATCAAGTTTGTCCAATTTTTATAATAGAACCTTTCAAAAAAACTTTTACTAAAATATTCACAAATCGATTAGATAATATTATTTCTTATAACAATCTTTTATCAAATCTAAACTTCACAGCTTCAAAAAATTCTTCTACACATCTTCTTATACAAATTTACATAACACAATTAAACATTATAAAACTACTAACAAAGAAGCCTGAATTCTCTTTCAAGATATGTTCAAGGTTTTTGATAAAATTAATATAACAAGACTTTAAGATACTTGTAAAAGAATAAGAATTCTATCGACAGAAATCAACCTAATTACAGAACTACATTCTCATCAATTTACTAGAGTAATTACTGCTCATGGCCTTACCTTACAAATACCAATTAATACTGGAATTGAACAAGGTGAAACATATTCACCTCTCCTATGGAAAATCTACTATGACCCTATACTCTATTTTATTCAAAAAAAATACAAAAACCACTTATTAAAAATTTTATGTCAATTCCATATTGATATTATAACAAATACAACATTCTCTTCAATAACAATTCCATTATTAGCTTTTATGAATGATACAACCTGGCACTGTGAAAGTGCAAATATAATGCAAAACATTATAAATGATATCTCTTAATTATACAAATTCAACAATATAGAAATTAATACCACTAAATCAGACCTTCTGTATATTAAACCCAAATTCATATTAAACCCAACTCCTACTCTCTCAATGAATCAACAAAATATTACACCTAGAAAACCACAAGATGTAATTCGATATCTTGGTATTTTCTATGATGACCAAGGATCTTCTAAACCAACTCTTGACCAAATTCAAAACAAAATCAAAAGCTTCCTTACTCTTATTCGATACAAAAAAATAACACCTTCACAAATTTCATCATTTTTCAATTTAATTCTACAATCTTCATTAGAATACTTACTTCAAATTATTCTAGTTCATACAAATACACAAACTAAATTCTCTCATCTCTTTACTATTCATACCAAAAAAATGCTCTCTTTAACAAAAAACACTAACAATATAATTCTCACTAATCCACTTATCTTTAATTTACCAACCTTTAACAACATCATTCAAAAAGTCAGTGCAGCTAATACTGAATAAATATTCAACACACTACCAATCCTTAAAAATATAGACATCCAATAAATTAAAGGATGGCTTACCAAAATATGGTCACCTCAACTTTCACCAAAAATCTTAACTGACTACTACCAAAAAATGCAAAATTACACTATACTTTTTTACCTCTCTCAACTAGCCTTTAATGAAATCTCATCCTCAATAATCTCCCAAATCACACCTTTTCTGTCATCAATATCAAAAAATACTCATACTATTTTTGACATCCTTTCTGTCAACCCATCTATGTCTACTATCAATAGTCTTAGAAATAACAAAATTATTTTTCTAGAACAAATCACAACTGCAAATAACAAAAATATCCTTACATGGAACAATATCTACTTACGTACAAATAAACCTAATAAAGGTTGCCAGCCAAAATGGTTTACTCAAATTTTACATTTAAACCAATCTAATACTATAACCCAAACTTGGCCTTATATAAACCTTCCTCCTATCAATATTTTCCTGGATACAATTAAACTAATATCACCATCTTCATCCTCAAACTCTCACTATTTTCATCATATATATTATACAAATAACCATTCACTATATATTTCTCAACAAACCTCTCTACAACAACCATCACTCTTTGAAATTTCTACAGTCACTTCAGGATTCTCTCAACTACTACCAACTACTAACCACCCAACACCAAATTTTCATTTATTCTTTTTACCTTATAACTTAATCATCAAATCAAAAGATTCAATAATTATCCAAATTGATTTTAAAGAAATCTTAGCCCTAACTCAAATACACAGCACTACTATTATCCAATCAACTTCATCAATACAACCACAAATAAGTCTTTTATCATATGAAGCTCAACTTATCTAACAACTTATCAACACACCATCATACTGTATTTTCCTGAAATTAAGCTACCTTTTTTTAGGAGATTTTGAATACAAGAAACGGTAAGTAGCTTATTTTCAGGAGTTATAGCTTTTAAAATAACTTAAATATAACACAAGGGATAGCTTATTTTTGGAATTTATAGTTTTTAAAAGTAATTTAGTTTAACAAAGTAGCTTATTTTAGGAATACAAACTTTAGCATTAAAGATCTTTATGTTTACTATCTTTTAAAGGTTAAATGAGTTTTTGTTGCGTATAGCGAGTTATTTACAGGTATTCATAATTTATTATATATGCTCTAACAACAATAGAATATTGATATCTAATATGTATAGCTGATTCTTTAGGGGCTACATAGGTTTGCTGCAGTAAAAACTTAAATATTTATTTTGCAGCATTCATGTGTTAAATTCTTAAAAAGCGTGCCTGAATCCTTAATTAATAAGCATTATCGTTATTATTATCATTATGCATAATATAAATAATATGTAGTCAGTGTTCTACATCTCAATGGCAATCATACACCAAGTTAAATTTACCAAAAAAATACACCTGCAAGTTGGAATTGGAGAATAGTACATAATTTATAATTTTTAGTGATAAGTTACTAAAATAGTAAGCTACTGGTATCACTTGCATTTTTATTTATGTTTTATAATAACTTACCATACCATGATAACTTACTGGTAATTTACTATGGTAAGCAACCTTGAGAGTAACAATTATTTTTTTCTCAAGAAGTTACCTTGTTCAAACTTGGTTAAACTTACTTAAACTTTAAATTTCACCAAATTTCTATAACGATAACGATAAGCTATAACTTTAATTGATCGCACAACATTCTGTTGAAGAATTTAACTTTAAAATTTGCATTTTGCATAATCAAAATTTTTATAATGATAATGATAAGCTGTAATTTAATTAATCCTATAACATTTTGTTATTTGTTATTTAAAGAAAGGTTCATTTCATAGTTTTTTTTTTTTTTTAAAAAAAAAAAAAACTTTATATAAAATTTACAACCTATTCAGGTTACAAAAACCAATTAATTTTATTTGTGTGACCTTACTATAGTAAATATGAAAAGGCAACGAAACTCTTACATGGTCAAAGAAAAAAGTAAAGTTATAGAATTGGCACACTATACTTCAAATAAATTTGCTGCTCACCACTATTCTCTTGATTTAACGATAGTTGGTCAGTAGGTTAAACAATTTTCACAAGACTCACCTCTTCAAAAGAGTTCCCAAAGGGTTGGTTCTGGATGTCATGCATTGTTTTCTAAAGAAGAAGCCCAACTTTATGAATGGATAATGGAGCTTCGTAAAGATGGTTTCACAGTTAATCATTCTAGTATTAAAATGAAAATGGTTGAAATTATGAGATCAAGTGCAAGACTAGCTCAAGATGAGGCAGAGAAGTTAGCAATTGCTAATTTTAAGTTTTCACAGCATTGGCTTGGTCATTTTTTAAAACGTTACAACCTTTCTCTTCACTGCAAAACTAATATTGTGCAAAAGTTGCCTGATGACCTCGAGAATAAGCTATTAAAGTTTTAATAGTTTGTTATTCGCCTCTGCCAGAAAAATAATTATCCTCTTGGTATGATTGCAAATATGGATAAGATGCCAGTTTGGTTTGATATAGTAGGTAACTTGACTGTGAATCCAAGAGGCATGAAAACAGTTCATGTTTGGTTAACAGAAATGACAAAAATCGATTTACTATGGTATTAACATGTCTTGCTGATGGCACTAAGCTCCCCCTAGTTATTATTTTCAAAGGAAAGATTTGGCCTGCTAATACATCCCCTCCTCCAGTTGGTGTAATTGTTTGGTTTCAAGACAAAGGATAGATGGATGAGTTAGGAATGGAACGATGGATAAAATATTGAAATAGAATATGATCAAAGGGATCTCATTCAAAAACAATGCTTGTCTTAGATTCTTTTTCAGCACATATTTCAGAGTGAATTAAGTCTGCATTGCATTCAAGTAATACAGATCTAGCTGTTATTCCCGGGGGTCTTACTAGCATGTGTCAATCTCTTGACATTTGTATAAATAAGCCTTTCAAAGATAAGCTTTGTTAACAGTGACATAGGTTAGTGTTGTCAATTTCTTGTTCTATTAATGAAAATTATATTTTATTCTAATTTTTATTGCTCTATTTATTGTTCTTTTGTTCTATTTATTTATTGCTATATTTAATATCTAATTATAATCTAGCAATTTTTTGTTCTATTGACAAAAATCTTATTCTATTCTAATTTTTATTCTATTTTATTGTTCTTTTGTTCTATTTATTTATTGCTATATTATTTTATTATAATCTTGTTAGTAATTTTTTGTTCTATTGATAAAAATCTTATTCTATTTATTCTATTTTAAATTTTATTGCTTTATTCTATTGTTCTATCCATCTATTGCTGTTAACACTGGCATAGGTGGATGGCAAATGGTGGTAATGGTCTTACTAAGGGTGGAAATTTAAAGCGTGCAGATTTAAACACAGTATGTCATTGGGTGTTAAATGCATGGGATGTTATCTTTCATGATATTATTATTTGGACATTTAAAAAATACAGTATTTCTAATTGTTTATCGGGAAGTGAAGATCATTTAATTTACAAAGATGATAGAAGGATTCAGATGATGCTAAGTCTGTTAATAACAGGGATAAAAATAAGAATAATAATGAATATGAGATTGCAGATTATAGTGTGGTCGAAGATTCGAGTAAAGATATAGGCGAAGATATAGGCAAAGGTTTAGATGAAAATACTAACACCGAAAATGATTTTAATAATTGGCCAGAATGCTTTGTTGTCATTTAAAATATATACTTATTCAAGATAAGAATAAATTTATTACAAGTGAATATTATTACTTATAGTTATAATATTATAAGAATAATTATTAACAAAATATATGTTTAAATTAGAACCATGAATGATTTTCATATGTACTAGAAATATATTTGCATAGTGAAC